TTAACTAAGGTACCAGTTCGAGCTGCTGGAGTGACAAGCATGCTCTGAACTCTATGAGAGAAATGCTACATCATCCAGTATTTGCCTGTGTAGCTGGAGAGAGGCAAATAGGAGACAGAGAGGGTATCAGAAGTAGGGGTCACTAACTATGAATTAAAAGACAGTCCAATCACAGCAAAAATAAGCAAATGAAAAAATTATTAACCATCCTAACAATGGATTGTGAAACTACCAAAACAAAGTAATTTAGTAAACTACTGGAAAAGGAGGAAGAACCCACCCTGCCATAAAGGAAAAGAGTCAGTGCAGATTTTGGATGGGCTGCAAAATTTCTCTGCCAGTGCAGCGCAAATATGAGCTCTGTCTCTATGTCAGATCCATGCCAAGGTCTAGCACCAGTGAAAGTTCCATTCCTGTATCCAAGAGCTGTTACGGTATTTGCCTGGCTGGGCTAAAGCATCCATTTTATTTATTTTATTTTTTTAGCTAAAACCCAGGATATTTAGTACTTTTAACATTCCTTTGTCTTTATAATAATTTGGATTCTACAAACCATTTTCCTTAAGTGTGCAATGCAAACCTCAAACTTCGTAATTTCTTTTCTATTTGTGATTTTTTTAGGTAAATAACATACTGTTATTCCCTGCTGAAAATTCTAGCAAACAGCTTCTGAACTAAGTTTTTCTGAATCCAGCCTTTATTTTGACATAAAACATCAATTGCAAACGGATTGTTGACCTATCTGCCTTAATTTGGACCATACATGGTAAACGATTTAAGTATTTGTATTTATGTCACTTGTCTGTGAGATGTATTAGTCACATTGTCTTTGACCTATTTTTCTGATTCCTCTTCTGCTGAGCATCACGACTCCACCAGCCCTGTGACTACAAGCTATGAATTGACAAAAATAGTGCTGAGCCTTAGGGCTATTTATTTGCAAGGACTGGTTTCCGTATTGAGGAAAGATGGAGAGATAAAACGCCACAGTTTGCCCAGACGGGTAATAATACAGGTTCATGAATGATTAAAATCCACATGCTGTAAAACTCACCTTCACTATCTCTCTGCTGATGCATTAAATTAAAATCAATAATAGGAGAAATGAAGTAATATTGCTCTGACAAAAAGAATGACAAAAATAGAATTACATGATGTGGCAGGTGATCTCACACAATACAGACATAGGAAGTAAAGAGTGTAAATTTAGTTGAACACCAAAAAAAAAAAAAAAAAAAACCAACCAAAACCAAGATTAAAATTGAAAAGAAAACAGTCAGGATTCTTAAAACCTCTCTGAAAAGCAAGACTCTCTGTCAGAAAATCAGAAAACCAGAAGGTTATAGCCATTAATTTCTGTTCTTTTAACAAGTATCACCCCTTTCTACATTACACAGCATTTGCATCAGGAAACGGTGTTTTGCCTTAGCTCTGCACTGTTTCCCAGAGAACTGCAAATCTGATATTAAACTGCAAGTCACAAGGATTTTTTTATCATTGCAAATGAGGATACATCATGACATGAACACTCACCTCCACAACTGGCCCCATCAGCTTGCACACTGGTTTGGACTGATGAAGGCGCTGGATCCTTGGGTGCCGGCAGCTGAGGAGTTTCTTCTTGGGTTGGCAGAAATGCAGCACACAAATCAGTTTCCAGGGCTTGTAGCTTCAACAAAGAATTCTGCAGACAAAAACAGAACATTGGGCTAGACAGAGAACAACAGAGTACAGCGGTAGCTCTTCAACTCACTGAGCCCATTAGCAGCGCCTGCAAAGGGGTGTTCCACTAGCAGCTCTGAGAGGACGCGCAAGAGAACAAACACGAGTTTCTTGACTTCTGGTTATTTAAGTCCCAATTTACACGGATTATTCATGACACGAGGG